CTGCCTTAGTACTACGCTTTTGGCAAAGGACAGCATTGGGAAAGTCTTTATTTTGATATTTTACCATTCTGGTGGAGATAATAATTCTTAACAGCATGAATTTCCTCTAAACTTTAAACCATACCATGGCTTCATGACCACAGGACAGTCAACAGCCAAGTACATCAGATGCTGCACAAATATTCTGCTTATCCCTCCACCAGTACTCAGTGTTTTGATTCATCCTCTCTGGGCTTAAACTGCCTAAATAGTTTAATTTCTTTTAGCTCTTTTCTTACATCAACTGTTGGATATAATTTTTCTATATCCAACCAAGACCCAAGTCATGAAAACTCAGGATCATAGTAAGAACAGATAGGCCCAAGAGGAAGAGTCTTGTGCTTTCTTTAAAAAAATCTTTCAATTCTTTGTAGAATAGGAATTTCCTTAGGGAGAGTCTAAGGAAATACCTATTTTAAAAGTAGAATCTTAGTTTCCAAATTAAAATGATGCTGAATAGAAATGCTGTTTAGAGAGTCAGAAGGTCAGGATCTCTTCTTGCCCTTGGAATGGGAAAAATCACTGGAATCCATAGGACAATGGTTTTGCTTAGGTAGGAAAAGAGCTACTATTAACTATGCTGGAAAGCTGTTAGAGGTGTGTGCACCCTGAGACCAGCAATTCTGTTCCCAGATATGTATCCTGGAGTAAGTTGTACATCGGTGCCCTGGGTCACACATATATGAATGTTTACAGCACTGTTGTCCATAATGACTCCAAACCAGCAGCAACTTAAATAAATATCCATCCTTAGTACAATGGGTGGGTACAGCATGGTACGTCCATACAATGGGAAACCATATAGCAGTAGTAATTAATAAACCAAGGTTTTTGGCACAGCATGAATGAGTCTTGTGAACACAATGTGGTATGAGAAAGGTAAGACACAAAAGAAAGCAGAACTATCCCATTTATATAAAGATTAAAAACAGGCGATATTAATCTATATTGTTTAGAGATGCACATACAGGCAATAAAACTAGGAGAATAAGCAAGCAAATTATTATCACGGAAGTTTGAAGAATATTTTCTTTGGGCAGTGAGAGAAGGTTGTGATCAAGAATCAGGATGGGAACTAGGGGAAACCTCTGAGATGCTGGTAATGTTTTTCACCCTTTAAAATTTTTTCTATATGAATATTTTACCTTTAATTTCAAAATTGCAAAAAGCACCACTCCTAAAAAAAGCAAGTTTGAAAACTCACGTCTTCAATTCATCTTGTTCATGGAAAATATTAAGGAACTAGAGGCCAGGGAGAGTAAATCAAATGCCTGTTTTTCCTGTCACCCTAAGGTGCCACCCGTGGGTCTCTCATTACAGAGCCTCTCCTCCAGTGCCCTAGGGGTCTAAGTGCTGGAGGCTCAGAGGGCCTCTCATCATCCCATCAGGCTCTTGGGTCCAGCTTGCAAACTGACCTTCCCCTCCCTTCCTCACACACTGGCCTCTGCTTCACGGCCAGCCGCCAGCACCTCTGCCTGTGGGTCCACAGCCAAAGTCCTCCTCCGAAGCCCACTAGACAGGTGCACATGTGGACATGCATCAGCAGACAGACACACACTCCCACTTGTACTTTGAGCCCTCTCTTGATTACGTGTCTCCTTGGCTTGGCAATCCTATGTAGACAATATCTACTATTTAATCTAAACCCTAGAACCTACTATACTTTGCATTTTAAAGATGTATAAAACCAAAATAAAGTTTATTAACTACAAATATTAAATCTCATGCTCTGTGGACCCTTTTCAACCATCCTTCCAAAAAAACAGTGGACATGTTGGTGTGTTGGAGACTTGCCATTCCCTTGAGCTGCACAGAAAAGCTTTTATAGTGGAAGTTTTTAAAAAAATATCTTTGTTATCCCCTTCTTTTACCAAAAAATCAGTAGCTGAGAAACTGTCTGAGTTAAGAAATTCCACAAGACATTTGGGAAAGGCACGACATGCAGATCTGAATAATAACATGATTTTTGAAGCTTATACAGGAGTATATTTACTAGATTTCTCCAAGTCAGTGGCATTCTTGGATCTTTTTTCATATTCAAAGACTGTTTCTGGAGCAGTTTTAGGCCCACAATAACACTGAGAGGAAGATACATAAATTTCCCATGTATCCCCTGGACCCACACATGCACAGTTTCCCCCCGAGTGTTACAACCCCTTACCAAGTGGTACATTTGTTACAATTGATGAATCTCTACTGACACATGATAATTACCCAAAGTCCATAGTTTGTTTGCATTAAGTCCAGCTCTTGGTGTTGTATATTCTATAGATCTGGATGAACATATAATGACATGTATCCATCATTATAATATACAGAGTGTTTTTACTATGCTAAAAATCCTCTGGGCTGTTCCCATTCATATCTCCCTACCTCCTTCAACTCCTAGCAACCACTGATCTTTTCACTGTCCCTGTATTTTTGCCTTTGCCAGAGCATCGTGTGGTCGGAGTCATATACCACATAGCCTTCTCAGCTCGGCTTCTTTTCACTTAGTCATATGCATGTCAGTTTCCTCCACATCTTCCCATGGTTTGATAGCTCGTTTTTCTTGACTGCTAAGTAGTAGCGTATCGTCTACATGTACCACAGTTCATTCATTCACCAACTGAAGGACATCTGGTTGCTTCCAAGTTTTGGCAATTAGGAATGAAGCTGCTATAAACATCCATAAGCAGATTTTTGTGTGATGTGTTTTCAACTCCTTTGGGTAAATACCAAAAAGCACAACTGCTGGATTGTATAGTAAGAATACATTTAGTTTTGAAAGAAAATCCCAAACTGTCTTCCAAAGTGGCTCTACCATTTTGCGCTGAACCAGAAATTTCAGATTTGACAAGGTAAAGAAAGTAAAGTGAAACTATGCCCCATACGTGAAGAATTCTAAGATAATTCTCCTAAAAATGGAATTACAGAAGGAGCCAACAATCCAAAGTAGCCTACATTACCAAGCACAGCAAAAATACAGAAGAGAAGAACAAGTAAAAATGTAGGAGACAAAAAAAATATTATGAGAAAATCCAAATAAAAGAATAGAGTTCTTAGTCCATGAATAACTTCTCTCCAAATAAACTTGCTATCACTCTTAAAAAAGTCCATATACATGTAGGAGTTTTCCAGCCATGAATAAACAATCAAGAAGTGTCATTTCAAGAAGAACTGGCCATGGGAAAAAATGCTTTTGTCAGAAAAACAGCAATATTTCCAATCTCCCACCTTATCTGTAGAAAGCCAATGTAACCAAAACATCTGAAGAAGTCAAAAATCCCCTATGTGTCATGTTGGTGTTATGCCAACAGCAGATAAAGCAAAAGAAGAGGAGTGATTTTTATTTTTCTTTGAAATGACCCCCTTTGTAAGGATTTGATTTGTCTCCTGGAGTAGACTTCAGTGAGATGAACTCAGTTCCAGTTCCAGACCATACCACTTTAAAGATCACCCCCAGGGTGTCTGTGCTCTGCTGATGCTGTCTCTGTGGAGCTGTGCTGTACCCATCCTTCACAGTGCTGCTCAAGCCTGGGCAGCCCACTGATCTCCCGTCTTTGAATTCCTAGGCCACCAGTTGTGCATCACTCACACAGACTCAGTTCCACACAGCACTGCATAGGGGCTGACTGGCTCCCCACGTGGGCATGGATTGCTTCCCACCCCCATTCTAAGGTCATGGAAGACAGATCTCTCGTGCTTCCCTACCCACCCCCTACCAGGTGCTGAGCTCAAAACAGGTGCCCTTCCTCTCAGAGCTCAAGGTCGTCACCTGAGATTAATTCCTTACAGCACTACCCAGGTTTTCGGCCACAGCTTCCCCCACCTCTGTTATTTCAGTGCCTTCTCTTTCTTGGTTTTGCTTTAAGCAGACAGTGGACAGAAACTAAAAACACATCCAGGTCAGTGAGTGTGCATTCTATGGGAAACAATGGCTCTTTACACTAGAATACAGTTCAAGTGACCATTGAACTTTCGTATACCAGTGGTGGTACCAGACTTCATAAGTGGGTGATAAACATGGGCAAGATCATTATGAACAACAAACAAATTCAGGGAACAGACTGGAGCTTTCATAGTAATTCAGAACTAGACTCTTAAAGCTTTCAGCAGCACTGTTCTGCTATAATGTGACATGTAGATTCCTAACAATAGCCTGGTTTGTGATATTAAAACAATTGTTTAATGGAAGAGGAAGATACAGAGGTTAGGATAGAGAGTTTTAGACATGATAACCAATACTAGAGGAATTTCATAGTCATATGTTTAGATTATTATCATAAGTACATGTTTAGATTATCATAATCTAAAATGCATATATCCATTGATCAAAGTTGACAAAACAAACCCAAACATTTCATTTCACAAACTCCAAAAAGGAATTTTGCAGTCTTCTCCATGTTATTTGGCTTTTATTTTATGATTTTGTTTGTTGAGCCCTAATCTTAAACCAAAGACCAAAGGAATATAAGCCAAACTGTGGAACAGCTCCCCAAGGAGAGATACAGCCACATCTTCCCCGGCTTTGCAAGGCTGTTACTTTTCTCTTCCTCTTTGGATTTCTAATCCCTCAGTCACCCCTATAATCAAAAGCAGTTGCATAATGCAAAAATGCTCCTTAACAAATATAACACATCATATCTAATTTCCATTATGAAAACTCCCAATGTAGGAAAAATGTTTGAACTCCAGGCCCAAGATTACATTTTGGATTTTCACATCAATCACTGACTTTCTCATATCAGTGATGTTTCTGCAAGGGACCTATGGCCGTAGAGACTTTAGCCTTGCCCATTGCCAACCAGCCCCTCTAGATTCACATTCTCCCACCAATCAGGAAAATGGTTATTTTCCTGCACAAGAAACAAAACTAAAAAACCTAGTAAAAAAGGCCAGTTGCCTCTCCTTAAGGTATAGACACCTTTCATTTGCAAGAATGATTTTGGATGTGAGACTGGAGGGGTGTGTGGCCATACCTGCAGGACAGTCCTTCATGTCACATGCCTCATTGGTATACAGCTTCTTAAAGAAATATCATCAACAGTGAAGACTAGCAGATTCCTGAGGAAGGTGAGAACACAAAACTATTGAAAACCAGTCATCTGGCTCATCTTCTCAAATCCACTAAATCCATCCTGGATGAGTGGATGAAAAGTTTTACTTCCATGTCATCAATTAAGACCGTTAGTCCCTTCCCCTACTAACAAATCAGTCTGAGCTTATTCAGGATTTTGACTCAAAAGCTTGCATAACAAGTTGTCTGATTAAATCATTTTAAGTTATTCTGAGGCCCTGGGAATGCAAACCTGAAGGCTTAAGTGCTCTACCTGGATAATACAATCCATCCTCACATCAGCTCAAGAAAGATTCCAAAAGCCCATTTCACAGAAGGGAAAACCAAGGCTTAGGGAGGTTAAGAAACTTGCTCAAGAACATGTACCTTAATGGAACCAGGAGTCAAATTCATATTCTCTGATATAGACCCATGGGCTTAACCACTCCACCACACTGCATCTCCTGCATAGGCACAAAGACAAAGGAAAGAAAGGGTCATTGGTGATTTATTGGTGCCCATAACACATTCCCTCAGCCCACCTCTGATTTCAACCACAGTCCTGGCAGAAAGTTCCATGAACCTCAGGCCAGTTTGCTGCTTTCCCGCCTCAGGGTCTCCTCTGAAAGTGCAGAGGTCCACTCAGTCCATTTTCAAGGGAGCTTGAAAGTCCTCAACCAATGGGGGGCATGGGAACCGGGAGAAATGTTGCCGCTTTCCAGCCTTCCTCCTGGAGACATTCCCTAGGCTTCTCAGAACACCAGTGTAATCAAGCTCCTGGTGCTCATGGCAGCATCCTTGGTAATATACCCTCATAATGGCTTTTTCTTCTTCCTGTCACACTGTCCCTGTTTCCTCACTCATGCTATTTGGGTTCATTTCCAAAATAAACTAGTTGTATCTGAGATCTTCTCTCAGGTTTTTGGGGGAACCAAGCTAAGACATCCTGCCTTTATGGCATGATTAACTGTTTCTTATAGGCTCCTTCCTAACCTATTATTCAGCAACTTTCAAATCACACACAAAATGTCAACAACCTTAATATTCAAGTAGCCCTGAATGAAGCCTATCAAGGCAGACATTCCAGAAAAAGCTACTACTATTATAGGAATGCAGAGTCATGACCATGGGACAGTCTCCCCATGTTACAATTTACCAGGATGTGAACATCTGGATCTGCAGAGGAGTGGCTGTTAATTTGGGGAAGGCTCTTTCTACTCACTAGTCTACATGGAAAGCACGGCATAAATCTGCATTACATTATCCAGACAAACATTCCTGTCCTCACATTATCACTTGCATGTCCTTGAATCCAACCCAGACAAGTTTTAAAGCACAACTGATAGGTTCTTGTGATCCAAGTAAAATTTTTTAAGGCCAACTCCCTTTCAAATATGTGAACTTATAAGCATACCTATGACTCTATGGATGACAGTCCCCAGAAACTCTTGGGGGTGTATCTAAAGAAGCAGTAGGGACAGGATGAGAAGAGACACAAGGTTCATCTAGTCCAACCCTATCTTTTCACAGATGAGAAAAGTAAATTGCCCTGAGAGTTGTTGAGCTGTGCACCATGCCCCCAAACCAGTAAGAACTGGAAGGATATAGCCCAGGCCTCCCAACAGACTGCTGCCTCCTCCATGAAAAGCCAGGTGTTGACAAAACTCAACCTAGAATTCTTCAAATATTCCATTTTGTCTCCAGTTGCTCTAGAATCAATATGGTGTACTACTTTTTGTATATATCATAGACTCCCATCCTGCCTGTGTGAGCAGTAATGAAAAAGTGCGTCCCTCAGAAATATACCAGGAACTCCATAGTAGACCATGGTTTGCAGGTTTGCAGAGTATTGGAGCTGAAAGAGATCTGAGATGACTAATTTAGAGAAGCTACATATTTCTATCTAAGAACTGGAAAATTGTTTCTTTTTAAAAAATTTCTCCAAATATTTCTCAAGAGAGTAATAGCAATAATAATTTTTAAGATTTATTGTGTAATCGCTATGCTAGCTGCCTTAAATGTATTCTATATTCCCTGTATAATAGGTATAATCATCTATCATCCCTTTAAGCCCCTGTAGATGACCATTAAAATAAGAGTAATAAGATAACATTCAAGAAAAATAACAAAATCTCTGTTTGCAATTCCCCACATAAAGAAACATTGTAAATGTTCTGTTAGAGTTCTATGGCAATGCTGTTTTGGCTTAAGGTCTGCTTTCAGTAGTCATTATCAGGGAATGTTACTTATTTGCTTGTTTATTGTGGTAAAATATATATAATGCAAAATTTACCATCTTAACTATTTTTAAGTGTACAGTTCAGTAGTGTTAGGTATATAGACATTATTGTGCAACCAATTTCAGAAATTTTTCATCTTGCAAAACTGAAACTCTACCCATTAAACAATTCTCCACTTCCCCTCCTACAGCCCTTGGCAACCACCATCCTACTTTCTGTTTTTATGTTTTGACTACCTTAGATACTCATAGAAGTGGAATCCTACAGTATCTGTCTTTTTGTGACTGGCTCATTTCACGTACCATAATGTCCTCAAGGTTTATCCATGTTGTAGCAGGTATCAAAATTTCCTTCCTTTTTAAGGCTAAATAATATTCCACTTTGTGTATATACAATATTTTACTTATCCATTCACATTTGGATGGACATTTGGATCGCTTTCCCCTCTTGGCTACTGTGAATAATACTGCTGTAAACATAGGTATGCTAACACATTGCCTTTAATTAAAATAAATTGATTACATTCTGCAGTGTTCCTTTCAGCTTATAGTCTTGCATTCCTGTTCTCAAGAAAAGCCAACCTCAGTCCCTCTCAGTCAGTATTCACACTTGGAATAATCTTAGCCTGTTAGGCAAACCATCATGACCAAGCATAGTCATTCATTTCACAGCACAGAAGAAAAAGTCATCTGCCTAGGAGGAAATAGACTCATGTGGCTTGCCTTACAAAACTCATTTTATGAGGTGGTGACAACATTCTATAGGGAGCTAATATAAGCATGGCAGTTGTAAGTGTGGGTCTGGGATCAGAATCCCAGCTCTAGCTCTTACCAGCTGTGTGGTCTTGAGAAAGTTACTTAACCTCTCTTAGACTTAGATCCTAATCTCTACAAAAGAGGCAGTAATAATAATGTTATGATATCCCAGGGTCATGGTAAAGAATAAATGAAATAATCCATGTAAATAAGTTAACATAGCACCTGGCATACAATAAGGGCTCAATAGTTGCCAGCCTTTATTCTATGGTTCCAACTTACAACTCTCAGTTGCAGATAAGGCCCAACAAGACAAAGGTGGGTACACATTCCTGGCCTTCATAACCACAGTGCTCTGCTAGTGATCAGGGATTTACCAACTTTTTAATCATAAAAGCCTGGTTTATTTCAAAGCTTTGATTAAGAAACACATCACTTAACCTAAAGTTGACCCATTTAAACCACATGCTTAAAAATAAAAGCTAAGAAATAGGAACTGAAAATGTTAAAAAATAAAATCTGAACAAAACTAAACATCACAGACAACTTTCTGCTAAGAAGATTCTTAACCCTGTAAGTGTATCTTCATCCTGCTGAAAACCTGCTTGTTTTTCTTTTGCTCTTGCATCACATGTGAACCCTCACAGCTATCATGCCAAGATCACCACATTTTAAATACCAATCCATCCACACTTGGCCTTTTCATAGGCTGTACCAAGTTCCTCTCTCACCTCAGCATTTCTGCCTTAGCAATTCTGATTTATTAGCGTTTAGCACATTTGGGCAGTTTAAGGCTTCAGGGCAACTTGGGAGGCATATTTAGATAGAATCCAGAGCTGTCAACCCGCCCACTGAGCACCCCGCTCAATCACCCTGCTGCCAAGCAACTCATACTCCCAGAGAGGAGCCTCCTAGCTCCAGTGTCCTCTAGAAGCCCCTGGACCACAGCACCTTCCAATTATATAGTGTGCATACTCTTGCAGCTTTGGACAATTTAAGGAACCTACGTGGTCCTCCTTCTTTGATCAGATTTACATCCCACAGTATCCAGGGTCCACAGTGCAGAGCAACATTAAATATTTTCTTTCTCAGGCCACCCTGCTTTGCTCCTGTTCACTGTTGGTACCCTCAGCCCATGAACCATCCAGCACAGCAGTGGTTGGCAACTCTGCCTCTGCACTAAAATCACTTAGAGCACTTTCTGCAAAACTATGGATGCAGGGATGTCACCCAGACCATCTGAAACTGAACCTCTGAGGTTGGAGTACACGTTCAGCAGTTCTCAGGAGCACTGCGGGCAGCGACATTAGAACCTCTGCCCCTAACTGCCACAGGAGTCAGAGTGCAGTGTCAGGCACCACAGTCCAAAAGCAGGCCATGCTCATGCTGAAAGGCTGCAGAATCCTGTAGGCCATGCCAAGGATTCTAGCAAGTGACCCCAATTCACCACAGAAGGAAAAGAAGTCTTCCCTTAGCTCATGCAGAAATCAAGCCTGCACAACCATTTTTGCCAGGGCAGACTGAGGGCCTGATTGCTCGCTCCAGCCTACATCACAGCCTGAGTCCTCACCTTATCTGGCTGCACTCTGCTTCCGGCCTCTCTGCAGGGACTACGCCTACACAACTCAGCTTCACTGCAGATGAGCCAAGTGGCAGAGACCGAGTGTACTCACGGCTCTACAGGACATCTCAGGGCCACCCGCAGACCAGCAAACGTGAAATGGCCAGGAACCAGAAAGCAGGCAGGCACTGAGCTGGGCATCACCAACAAAATGAGAAGGAGGTAGACATGCTGATGGGATTCAACAACAGGACTGAACATAGGATGTGCAGGAGGCCTGTCCCAGTACAACTGGTGGTGGGAACCGTGGCACAGAGGGCGTGCGACTGGGCTCTGGTGGCAAACTGCCTAGATTCAACCCTGCCTCTGATCTATGATGTGGAGTGAGCAAAAGAACCAAAACACTCTGAGCCTCAGTTTCCTCATCTGCCAAATGGAAATAATGCTCCCCTTCTCACAGGGTCACTAACAGGATTGTGAGTGTGAACACCAGCACAACAGCTGGCATTCCAGCAAATGTTAGCCATGTACTACAAGACAGAAAGGCCACCCTTAGGACCCAAGACAGGTTAGTCAAAAGGGAACAAGACAAAAGGCCTATGGCAAGTCGGAGAAGGCCCTGCAGCAGAGCTGGGAATCCAGGCTGCAGTGGAATAGACCATTTGTTCTAGTTTCTCTGTAAAAAACAGGCTTGGCCCCAGAGTTTTGGACACACTGAGCAGCTGTGGCCTTAGCTTCAAAGGCTAGAGGCCTGGAGGCTGAGGGAGCAATCTGACTGCTATACTCATTGGCTTGGCACAAGCTCAAGGCCCAGATGACTCCCCAGCACTCTGAGAGGCCACTTCCCTTCCACTCTGCAGGCCCTTCCCAGTGTGGCCCTCACCTTCTAGAATTTTTTCTTTTCTTTTTT